ATGTTTGTGTGAGAATCAGACTTCACTCCTCTCAGTCTGCACTGGAAACAGTTAATGAACAAATTTCCCAGAGTTCTAATTAGCAATATTTATTGGAAGAAAAGTTAATGTGACAAAACAAGAATTCCAATGAGCACTGTACTTTGCTTTCAGATTAGACACTAACCTAGATTAGAGAAGTTTGAAAAACACTGACACATATACATGTACACAAACACATATACATGTAGTTTTTAAATTCTCATGATTAGGAAAAATTGCCCAGGTCAGAGTACAATCTTGAGAGAATCCTTATGCTTATCCTTACCTGTAAACTGAGAAAGAGGTAAATGAAGCAGAAATTGCCTACTTCATTTTGAGGCAAATCAAGTAACATGCATTAGCATCTGAAGCACGGATCCCCAAACTCTTTAGCTCATCAACGTCTTCATGATGTTTCAGATGGTTCATTGACCCCCAAACATTTATTCTATGAAAATAATTTAATAACTACTACTATTACTACTACTATTAACAACAACAACATTGACCCCTTGGATAATCCCATCAACCCTTTGGGGTCAACACTGACCAATTTGGGAAACCCTGATCTAAAGTGAGGGGGCTCATTTGTTTGAAAATGGACAATAGGGCTGTCAAGTGTTTTGGATCTGATCTCCAAAAGATGCTTTATAGCATGTGGAGGCACCAATTTAGCACTGATCAGCTGAAGCAGCTACTGTAGTTTATTTTTGGATATTTCCATTTCTCCTTTGAATGGATGGGTGCCTGATTACATCATTTCAGCCTTAGAGGAAATAAGTAGAACATTTGGAAGGAAGCATGTGACAATGCAAGAATTGTGTATTTTCAATAAGAGGAATATTTTTCATTACCATTCCTGCTCCTTTGTCCCCATTATATTAATTCCAAAATCTGTCTTTGGTATTAAAAGAAAGAATGATACATTTGTTTTTGGTTTAGAGTTAACTTGCCCAGAGAACAGTCATTATCTTAGAGGAAATAAGTAGAACATTTGGAAGGAAGCATGTGACAATGCAAGAATTGTGTATTTTCAATAAGAGGAATATTTTTCATTACCATTCCTGCTCCTTTGTCCCCATTATATTAATTCCAAAATCTGTCTTTGGTATTAAAAGAAAGAATGATACATTTGTTTTTGGTTTAGAGTTAACTTGCCCAGAGAACAGTCATTATGTACTTTGTGGAACTCCCTGCCTTGCCTCATGTACCCAGCCTGATGGACCTCCAAGCTGCCTCTGGACCTCATGTGTAGAAGGATGCCAGTGTGAAGCAGGGTTTGTGCTGAGTGGCACTGACTGTGTGCCACAGGAGCAGTGTGGCTGCAGCTACAAAGGACGATATTACTTGAAAGGGGAAAAGTTCTTCCTGGAAGGAGAACATTGTAAAAAAATGTATCACTGTGATGGCTCCATCTCTGCCATTGAAACTGGGGGGTCCTTCTGTGGCCCTGAACAATTCTGTGGCACTCAGAAGGGAGTGTATGGCTGCCACACATTGTCAGATGGCATCTGTCGAGTTTCTGGATTTCTCCACTACACCACCTTTGATGGACAGCATTATAGCTTCCAAGGCGCCTCTATGTACGTCTTAGTGGAACTGTGCCCGATGTCCAAGTTTTTACCCTCTTTCAGAGTTGAAGTGAGGAATGAGAAGACACCTATCAGCCTTTTCCCTGAGGCATCAATGGTATTGGTACTAGTGAACAATACCCAGATATATCTGCAGAGAGGGCACCATGGGAGGGTCTTGGTAAGGACAATTTTAGATATTTGCAGTCTGAATGGATTATGTGATTTCAAGCGTGTTCTGCATTTGTTGTGATATTCCAACTGAACATACATTTAAAAAAGAAGAGTGTTAAAGCTGTCATTCTGAGATAACCACCCAGGGACCATAGGATACATCACCCTGCAAGTTTGGAGTTTGAGTTTTAACTTCAAAGGAGAAATATCTGCTTAACTTCCATCATTAGAGGTCTGTTATCTCCAATATGGGAAACTCTGATATTGAGGAGGCCAGCAAAAAACGGCTAAC